ATAATTTTTCACAGTATAATTTCTTTGTTTTGGATTTTTTTATTTAAAAAACGAACTTTTACATTATTATCGAAAATTTTGAGTTTTTAAAAAGCAACCTTTACAAAAGCTGTAGATTTTTGTTTGATCTACAACTTTTATATATGTTTAATAGTTTATTAAAGAGGGTATGTATTGAATAAACAAAAGAACAAATTGGTATTTAATAAAATTGAAGATAATAATTTGCATACTCATACTAAACACAATGCACATTCTAATAGTACAATTATGTTATCTAAAAATGCATTGATAAGTTTATTACTTAGTAACCGAATATTTATTGCAAGCAGTACCTTTTAATAAAACCATAGAGACAAAAAATAGATGCATAAATACATGGGACCATTATTTAAATTTATAATAACTTAAGTCCATTTGCACCACTAGTCGTTAAGAAATAAACCAAGCTTAAAATGACGTTTCTCCATTGACAATGTCATTTTAAGCTTCGCTTAGTTCTTAACTACTAGCGGTGCGAATGGGCCTTAATAACTAATTTAAAGTAGGGAAAATCAACGAATGAAGTTTTATTTTCTTCGGAATATATCCCTTAATAGTTTTACAAATTTTGGTTTTTAAAATTTGGTCCGTTCTTATAAGGCAAAAACGATAAGTGTTTGCCAATTTGTAAATTGTTGATTGCTAGTTTTTTGGTTTTTTTTTTTTGGATCAGAACCCCCCCATGGAGAATCCTCTATACAGGGTGGGCCATTAGTGCGTGGGTGGAAGAGTACGGGTTTATTAGGGTACATTTTTAAAATTCATTTTTTGGAGCATGGTGTAGGACCTCTAAGGCTACAACCTAAAAATGTTTTCGATGAAATTCCAATTGTTCTACAGGGTGATTCATATCAAAGTTATGTTTACAGATGAGTGTACCTTTCCCCAAAATGGTGAAGATGAAAACCCTCACTATTTGAGAGTCAATAGTCAGGAGAAATGGTCGGTTAATGTTTGGGCAGACATAATAGACACTTATGTTATTGGTCCTTTCTTTTTTGATGGTGTTTTAAATTCAGAAACTTATTTAAATTTTTTAAATAACCATTTATTTGGTCTCTTTGAAGATGTACCACTTGCTCAAATTAGAGATATGTACTTTCAAAAAGATGGAACACCTCCACATTATGCCCGTAATGGAAGGTGGATTGCAAGGGATGGACCATTGCGATGGCCAGCTAGATCTCCAGATATTACTACAATCGACTTTTTTTTATGGGGTTATATCAAAGAAAAAATATATAATAACCAACCACATCTGAAAATATGAAAAACAGGATTAGAATTTCTTTTCGTCGAAGAATCCAAGTTTGTTTAGAACAGGGTGGTAGACATTTTGAACATTTATTAAAATAAAATTAATTAAACTCAAAGCCAATATCACATAAAATACCAACAACCGTTTCCCCTTCAGAAAACAACTACTCCTTTGGCTAATACCGCAACAGGCATTGAAATACATCCGAAGGAAAGACAGCAGAGATAGAAATTAATTTTCTACACTCTCTACCTTTGATTTTGTTCACTAAGGAGAACATCATTCTTGGACCGGTTTCGTCCTTATTAGGACTCCTCAGCAAGAAATAGATAGGTTCTCAAAGGTAGAGAGTGTTGAAAATTAGTTTCTATCTCTGCTGTCTTTCCTTTGGATGTAATTCAATGCCTGTTGCGGTATTAGCCAAAGGAGTAGTTGTTTTCTGAAGGGGAAAAGGTCGTTGGTATTTTATGTGATATTGGCTTTGAGTTTAATTCATTTTATTTTACATTTGAGTTTGATTTATTTTCGTATTTATTTATTAAAATAATTGCTTTTTTTTATTTTGATTGTGGTGTTATTTATTTTTTGTTTTCTGTTTTTTTTTTGTTTTTTTTAAGCTATTGCATAGCTTTTATCGCAGGCTTTCAGTGCGGCGACCGAATCCAGAAATTCCGTAACGACTGTAACGAAAAAAAAAAACACTCCCCCACTCCGACCGGCACAGCGGTGCGGCGTTAAACAATATTCAATAAAATAAAATCGAAAAAACCAAAAATGAAAAAAATCGGAAAATCAAAAAATAAAAAAATCAAAAAATACAAAATCGAAAATTTGAAAAAAAGAAAAAAAGAAAAAAAAAAAAAAAAAAGAAAAATCGAAAAATAAAAAATCAAAAAATCGAAAAATCAAAAAATTGAAAAATCGGAAAACCAAAAAATCGAAAAATCGCAAAATAAAATATTCAAAAAATCGAAAAATCAAAAAAATCGAAAATTTGAAAAATCGAAAAATAAAAAAATAAAAAAATCGAAAAATCAAAAAAACGAAAAATCAAAAAATCGGAAACTCAAAAAATAAAAAAATCGAAAAAACAAAAATCGGAAAACCAAAAAAATCGAAAAATCGCAAAATAAAAAAATCAAAAAATCGAAAACTCGATAACTCGAAAAATCAAAAAATCGAAAATTTTAAAAATAAAAAAATCGAAAAATAAAATATTTAAAAAATCGAAAAATCGAAAATTTAAAAAATTGAAAAATCAAAAAATCGAAAATTTGAAAAATCGAAAAATAAAAAAATCTAAAAATCGTAAAATCATCGAAAAATTGAAAATCTAAAAATCGTAAAATCATCGAAAAATCGAAAAAAAAAATCGAAAAATCGAAAATTTTAAAAATAAAAAAATCGAAAAATAAAATAATCAAAAAATCGAAAAATCAAAAAAAAAAGAAAATTCGAAAAATCAAAAAATCGGAAAACCAAAAAATCGAAAAATAAAATATTCAAAAAATCGAAAATTTGAAAAATCAAAAAATCGAAAATTTTAAAAATCGAAAAATAAAAAAATCAAAAAATCGAAAAATCGTAAAATCTAAAAAACAAAAAATCAAAAAATCGGAAAATCAAAAAATAAAAAATCGAAAAAATGAAAAATTGAAAAATAAAAAAATCGCAAAATTGAAAATCGAAAAATCGTAAAATAAAAAAATCGTAAAAACGAAAAATCAAAAAATAAAAAAATCGAAAAAAAAAAAATCGAAAAAAAAAAAAAAAATCGAAAAATCGAAAAATCGAAAAATAAAAAAATCGAAAAATTAAAAAATCGAAAAATCGAAAAAACGAAAAATCAAAAAATTGAAAAATCGAAAAATACAAAAATCGAAAAATCAAAAAAACGAAAAGTCAAAAAATTTTAAAATCGACAAATCGAAAAATACAAAAATAAAAAATTTGAAAAATCAAAAAGTCGAAAAATAAAAAAATCGTAAAATCAAAAAAATCGAAACAGAAATTCCGTAACGAAAATAAACCTAACACCCCCACTACGACCGGCACAGCGGTGCGGCGTTAAAAGCCGTGCATCGTCTAACGTCGTTTCAGTTCGGCAGACTTCGGCACGGTGTTTGTGTGCGTGTGACTAGACGTATGCGTGTAGACTAGCTGCTAACTGATTCTACTCTTTTAGACACAATTTCGGAAAAATTGAATTTGAAAATGAATAATGATCCACAAGAATCCGCAATAAAATATGGGACCACCATTGACGCGGTATTTTCCAGATATTTAGAGGATATCAAGTCTCAAACTTACGTTTCCTATTTCAGTTACCATAAACTTATAGTTTCAATGATAAAAATTCCTGAATAACCTAAAATTATTGTAAGATAATAAAAATATTTTAAACAGTACTAGTTTCTCATTTATTCAATAAAAGAAAAAAAATTGTTTTCTTATTGGTCACCACGCTCAAAAAGTGTAACTTGAATTAGCATCAAAGAAAAACTTGAATTAATATCAAAGAAAAAAAATACTGCATAAATAAAATAAATAAATAATTATAATTGCATAAGTTGATAAAAAATGTTATGCAATAGCTTTACCGCGGCAGTCCCCGAGTGCCAAAGTTTTTTTTTTAACTTATTAAATGTTTTTTAATTGAAAAATTCTGTGAATTAATAGAATTTTTTAAATAAAAAGAAATCTGTAAAAGATAAATATCAACTTATTTTTATATTATTAGAAAGGTAATCAAATTCTGCATGTAATGAAATGAAAAAAAAATTGTAGTCCCACTTAAAATAATCAAGTTATCTTAGATTGAAATTTTGCAAATTGGCGTAGCGATTATTTTAAACACAATAAAGGTTTGACTTTGATCGTCTGGCAAATGTTAGTACATTTCATGCTTAGTAACACTGTAGAGTCACGGCCTTCTTAGTTTTATAATAGCTGCGATATTCAATTTTTACTAGACATCTATTTTTTGAAAAAATAATGAATAGCTGCTAAACGACTCATCTTAGATACCATGTGTGATGCATAAAGTCACACTAAAATTGACCGAGGAATCTAATTATGCAATAATTCCTATTAAAAAAACACCCTGTAGAACAATTGGAATTTCATCGAAAATATTTTTAGATTGTAGCCTTAGAGGTCCTACATCATGCCCCAAAAATTAATTTTAAAAATGTACCTTAATAAACTCGCAATCTTCCACCCACGCACTAATGGCCCACCCAGTAGTATTGACACTGATCGATATTGACTGTTTGTTATTATTCTTTTTCTTGATGGAACCCCTCCCATGAATAATGGTTAGGTACGCCACTGATGATTGCACATACCGGATTATGAAAGTAAAACAATAAAAAAAAAAAAACAATTATTCTAAATTCCCACAAAGCTGCGCTTTCTAGAATTTAAGATTTTAGATTATTTGAATTATTTTTCAATCCAGTTTTTTTCAAAAATTTATTAAATCTGATCAGCAAAACGTTTCAAAAGTTATCAAACTCTAAATTTGTAATTTATACACTTTCAGATATTTTGTTGGACCACTAAATATAAATACTCCGAAGACAAACCTATTTTTAATATTTTTGTAAGATTATCAATTTAAAATCATTTCTAAAAGTATTATTTATATACCATTTAAAATCCAATTCTTACAACCTAAATAAAAATAAATGTTTCTTACTTTCCACAATTCCGGTAAATCTAGACCTTGTAATTCGTTCGATTCCATGGGGGTGCTCATCACGAGAAATTTATCTCTGGATAGTCCGCCTAGCTGAAATCCTGGCAGAAGTGTTACATTAACATTAGCGCTCTCTCCAGGAGCCAAACATCCTGTACTGGGTTTCACTCGGAATTTTTCTGGCGATGTTGTTTTAAGCTACAAATATATTGAAACTATGAAATTCATGACTATCTATGGCGCGGGCGTGGTATTCACAGTCATTAGTCGGTAGTTATTACATAATTAACGTCCTGTTTCTGGAATTAGAATGAAATATGTGTAAAATACATAAAAGGCAAGTGTTTCAGAATTTTCTTTCAATCTCAATAGAGAGAATGTTCTATATTTCCGTTATTATTCTTTTATTCCTGCTCTGTAATTGGGATTGCCTGTAGAGCATTGTAAAAAATAAATAAATAAATAATAATAAATTATAAGTGGTTTTGGAAGAACTGCATTCAGTAGTATTCGTGAAGAAAAATGTTTAAATAATTACAAATAAAAACTTGTTTTATTTACCTTATATGAAACATGGATGCTGTCGTCTGTGTTTTGTAGCTCCAAGGTACTAATAAGTTCAGCTCCATCTCTAACGAATGTAATAATTCCTGATGGGGTAACTTTAAGGTAACCGCCATCTACAAAAAGAAAATTTTCCTACAAACATCTGTACATTCTTTAAGAACTATTGCACTGCTCACAAATGCAATCAAAATGTGTGAATTTCGAGTATTTGGTTTTTATTCTAGACGGCACAATAATGAATATATTTTATTAATTTTTTTTTTGCAAAAAGATAAAGACTTGGACTATCATCCTACAGACGCTTTTGATTAAAATATAAACGGTTCAACCAGAAAAAATCTATTAGTTCAATAAAATTGTTAAAAAGAACCTAACTTTACCAGACAAATTATTATATTAAAAATACATTGTTTTTCAAATACAACGATGTAAATGTAGTTTCATCTTTTCTTAAGAGAATAAAAAAATAATAATTAAAATTGGATTTGAAATAAAGATGTAATCATATAAATACGGAAAGTTGTTATTCCCAGAAATACCTATAAAACTCAATATTTTAACTCCCTTCTCTCCACGATTGCATTTTCATCGACGCATCGCTCGGCGTGACTCGTTCTCAATCGACTAGTGCAAAGCACTGCCCGAAGGTTGTTTGGCGTATTTCAATTTTTACTGGACTCACCCATCATTAACAATGCCATTAATGGTTCTTTACATTCGTTTAGGTAAAAATAATAATTATTAGGTACATTCCTAAATACCTACACAGTTTGTTAAAAGGAAATATTGTTAATTAGTTAAGAGCTGTTCACTGTTTTCCATTACAATCGAAATGTGTGAATTTCGAGCAAATTCTTTTAATTCTAGAAGTCACAAAAATAAATATATTTTATTAACTTTTTTTTTAAAACGATGGAACCATCATGTAAACGTTTTTAATAAAAAGCTAAAGGGTACTTCATTAATGTTTATTTAAAAAAACTGAAGAAATCTTTATCAAATTTTAATAAGAAATCTATCAAGGGCTTGTCCAAACTTAAAATACTTTTGGAAATGATATAAGGAAGAAAAAGAGTTAGGTACACCACATTTTAAACCGACGATAATAAATTAAAAACAAACTAGTTTTGTTTTATTTTTGAATCATTTTTGTTTGTTTTTTGTTTTCGATTGCTTCTAAAATATAAACTGGTTCCCTTAATGGCATCCCTCTAACGTGTCTTGGATCTACCAGTTCTGGTAATATACAATTCATAAAAAAACTTTTAAATTTTTGTTCCATTTTGTTTCGCCAAAAATCATTTCTCTTTAGTATGTACTCTACTTTGAATGGATATTTATTTATGGTCTGTCCAAACACCAAAGATACATCCTTTCCGGCCAGTAATATCTAACTGGCCTTGTATTTGGTAATACCATTGGTGTTCTGTATTTACTACATGTTCTCCAGTTTTTTTATCAGTAATCCAAAACGGAATTTTCTTTTTTTCTATTGCGTCGTCCACTTCCATTTTATACGCTGAATATGGACATTTTACCTCAACCACAAGATCATCGCCAACGATTCCATTTGGTGTTGCACCTCAAAAATAATAATTTTTTATATTTTTTTTTTCTAATGTTTTTAGTATATACAATTATTTTATATTTTTTATTTTTAATATAAAATAAACGGTACCAGAGTCGGCTTATTTTTAAATAAGAAAAATATTACATATTATTTACCAACCTAAATATGGATATTCTTGGTCGATAAAAATTCCACATTCTTCAATTAAAATGTTTTCTTGTTCTTGTAGTTGGAGTAATGCCACTTTCTCATATTTTTTTCCATGAGAAATGGAAGCTGCTTTTGGAGATGACTTATAAACTATTCTTTTTACTAATGGTCCACTCAAAGTAGCGCTTCTTCTAGTACATACTGCCTTAAAATGTGACGCTGTAATCATTTTCCTTCGGACTTCAAGCCATAAGCTACTATTTGCCTGGGAAAGAGTTTTTTCTTGAATTGAACTTTTTTCAGAATCAGATGATGGTAATCCTTTTAGAAAATCGTCGAAATCGGTATTGGTCGCCCGAACCCTTTTTTTGTTTCTTATACTAGATTTAGCTTTTATAGCCCGTAAGCATCGTTGTCTTTCCAATTTATTTGCTACTAGCGATAGTTACTTCTCAAAGTTTTCTTTAGTTCAGAATTACCACATTTTGAATTGAATGAAACAACTGCAACAAAACACCTACTTTGGTACAATCGTCCTTTTGAATAATTAACTCTTTTACCCCCTACAAATTTGGCGACAATAGAGTGAAATTTTTCAACAATATTGCTGTAAACATCATATAACAGACTTCTACTTTGGTCTGACAAAGAATGTAATATTTGCTGAAGTCTTATAAAAAATTCGGGACTAGATTTCAAATTAGGTACAACATTGAGAGTGTCATCTGAATTTTTCTTACAAAAATATTCATCTCAATTCGAATGTTGCCCAAATATATGTAGAACAGAATTATCTATATCCTTTTTTAGCAATAAAATATTTTTAGAACTGCCTATATTTATGGTATTGTTTTTTCTATATGCTATTGCCTTTGTAATCGATGTTCTAAATCGAAGAATATTTTGGGACAATAACTTTCTCAATTTTATTGGGAAGCGCGTATCCAGGGAGTTTTTTAATTTATTTGAAAAATTTCTGAGTAAGTGATTTCTACACTCGATTTTTTCAACAGTTAAATTATCATAGAGTCTATTCTCTAAAATTTTTTTATATCACCATCAGAAATTAGCTTTGCATATTTAATGCCGTGCAATTTTTCGCTATGTTTAAACCCTCTAACAAAATGGTGGATTCCATTCCTGTAGAAGTTCCAGTATAGTTTTTATAGCATTTATGTTCAATTTGTTTATTGGCTAAACAAATCGAACAAAACTTATTTTTAATTTTAATTTAATTTTTAATAACACTAACACAATACACCGCGTATCGAATCTTTCAAATTATACTGAGTCCATCCCAAAACAATATTTGTCTATCCGTGTCCTATACGGTAGTTACGGATGCAATTGAATGAATGTCTCTAACAAGGGTTTCTTTCTTTTGAGGTGGGAGTATTGGAGGAGATACCTACTGCAAATTTCCCCTGAAACGAAATTCAAGCGTCCAGAGCAATAACTCTTAAAGAACAGTATCAAATACAATTTTTACATTGTTTATGACTATGTGTAATGTTTAAAGACAAAGTTATGATAGTGAGTACAAGTATTTATTTGGTCTTTACGTCTTTATCCAAATAAGTAACCACTGTCAAGTGTCAACTGATCGCGGTAATATTATTGTTTATAAAGCCCCCGAGAGTCAAAAAAGAAATTTGCAACAGAGAGCTATTCATGACATATTGAAAAATGTACATGTTAATGCTGGCAGTTTCATTCCTTAACAAGTAAATAGTTAAGTCAACACGTTGTATTTTGCTTTTTAAGTTTTAGTATGGAAGCAGTTAACTAAAAATTCCGACAATAACACCATTGGAAAGCTAATGATAAAAGCAATTTAATTTCATTGCTATTGAAGTCTAAAAATCAATATTTTTGTACTAAAAGTGCAGTTTAATCAATATGTTTTAAGCTAGTTTTTTTTCGTTTCGTCAATAAAAAGTTTAAGGTGATAAACACAGTAATTAGTGTTTCATGGTAGTGGCTACTGTTCTTACAATAAGTATATTTTATTTTAATCTAATAAAATGACTGTAAATTGCAATAAATGTTTAAACAACATTACAAAGTCACAATATAACATACACTGTAAGAAATGTTCAAAGTGGCTACACAGAGATGGCGTAAATTTATATTGTGAAGAGATAAATAATTACGCAAAAGAACATAAATTACAAGATGGAAAAAAAATATGTATGTCATATATGCGCAGGAAAAGAAACATCTAGACGATCATCTATTAATAATGAATCTAATTCCATCTTGGAATCAACAGAACTTAAAGATTACATCAAAGAATGTGCAACTGCAGCTGTTTTATATATGTAAAAAGTTAGAAGAAGAAAAAGATCAAAATAAGAATAAATTGGAAATAATTATAAAATTGGAAAAGGAAATAAAACAACTTAAAAATGAAATGGTAAACTTACGAAGCTCCAAAAAATGTTTCAACAACAATCTCGGTACAAGAAAAACATGCCGAAAAAAGACAAAATGTACCAATAGTTCATTCAAAAGAAACTCATAATAAAATTATTAAAACAAACCTAGACAAAAACACAAACTCTCTAATCTCCCAAGCCCAAACGAAAGAAGATGGCACCAATCCGTGTGCCAATAATAACAACTTAAAACATCAAGATAAAACTAAATCAATCAGAGGGAAAAATGATAAATTACCTGATACAATAAAAGCATACTCAAAAGACTTGATTTCTAAAGCCAATTTGTTTATGAAACCATTCTCTTTAGATATTAATGCTTTAGAAATACAAAAATACCTTAGAGATACACTTGAATGCACCAACATTACCTGTGAAGAACTAAATCCAGATTCAAAAACAAAAACTTACAAATCTTTTAAGATCACTGCAAACCAAGAAGCAGAAAACGGTTTATGACAAGAAAACATTTGGCCAAAGGGGATCACGGTAATGCCTTTCAACTCCAAAACACATCATCATGGAATAAACAACAATAATCACTTTTTTCGAGGAATCTCTGAGAGACAAGGAACAAATGAATCAAAATTTAGAAGTTACCAATACCAATATCGACGAAACAGAAATTTCCATTCTCCATCAAAACGTACAATGTATTAGAAACAAAATACTTCAATTAGACAACCTATTAATAACATGACAAACGTAAAAAATTGTTTGCTTTTCAGAACATTGTCTATTTTCTAAACAGGCGACATGTTTCAATCTTACAAATTTTAATAACGTAACACATCCATGGCGGGGTAAATATATATATTCACAACACTTTGCAAAGCGCTGAGATTCCAGAAATTAAGAATATGTCAAAAGAAATCCACTGTGAAATAACTGAGGCCTTTATTAAAAAGCTTAATCTGGTACTCATTGTTATACCGGGTGTTCAAATTAAAGTGTT